GGGGGGGGGGGGGGGGGGGGGGGGGGGGGGGGCCAGGCACCCACCAGGCCCCCCCTTGGCTCCGCCCCTGTGTGGGACCGTGAGTTCCCAAGGAGAATGGCAATGAGCTCATCGTAGCCAACCGTAATTTGAAAAGGGGTAAGAAAATTAAAGTATGCAGTCAAGATCACACATTCCATCAAAATCTGGTATATAATGGGTTGGGTCAGGTAGGAACTGGAATCAAGGTGTCAAAACAGGTCGGGTGGCCGACACTTGAGATGGAGCCATCTTTAAAATTAAGGTTGAACCCCAACATTGAGGGCCCCCCACCGACCCTGCCTTGGGCCATTGTGGAGGAGGTAAATCGCAGGATGTGCCTCCCAGGAACTAGGGTGAAGAGCTTATGGATAGACCTTGAGCTGTTAACTCTATGATAACTCCCGCTTGCAACAAAGCCAATTCCACCTTCCGGGGAATCGAACTCTGCACACTACTGCACTGAGCCCTAACCGCCCTCCCCTTTGCCACTGGGAGATTTGCCCTGGGGGCTACTTTGGCATAATAATTAATAACTTGGAGATATGCCCTGGGGGCCAAGCCATCTTTAAAATTGATCGTAAGTAGTCTAGTCTAGTTCAGAATGATTCACGAGTTGGTCTACTACAGTGAACGAGCCATGTCGACCTTGATTTTATGACACATGAAGACCAGTACAACTAGCTCGATTTATTAAAAAATTACACTAAAAAAAGTCATTGTAGCTATAAATATTTATTACCCTTTTACATTTTGTTCACAATTTCACCCCAACTTAATTAAAAATATACTTCAGTTATAATAATGCAACTATTATCTTAAATTATTTTTTTATTAAAATTCCAAAACTACTTTAAACGATTCATATGAAAACGTATCAATGATAATATTCATTATTATTATGACTTAATTTTAAATCATACTAAGGCCCTGTTCGGGAGGGATTAAAAGCCAATTAAAATTGAAAATATGGCCGTTATTGGGTCCCACTCGTCTAATAAAAGTCAACAATAACGACTATATTTTCAAGTTTAATCTGATTTTAATCCCTCCCATACAAGACCTAATTTTTTCCTCAAAAACAATTTTAAAAAAAATTTGTAAAAGATGTGTTGGACATGTTTAGCCAGGAATATGGGTTCGTAAATCATTATTCGCCTTAGATTTGGAAGGTCCCGGCTAAGCCTGAATTCTAAACAAGTTGGTCGGTGCAGGCCCACTCATTTTTACAACTCTAACTATGTCCCTATTTGGTCTCAATTTTCTAAAACAATTTTTCTTCAAACTCATTTTCCACAACACATTGTATGAGATCCACGACTTTTACCAACTTTTCAACCACATATTTCATCAACTTTTATCAAAATCTACTAAAAATCTGATTTTTAAACAAACCAAACATGGGCCAGGGGTGTAAAACCACTCTTTCTTAGCCAGTCTTCATAGAGCCTACAACACATTTGGGCTTGTGTTGTGTAGAACACAAGATCCACTATTTCTAAGGGCTAATTACACCAGTATTCATTGAATTTTGAATCTAAAAAATGGTAGAATTATCTATAAGAAACTATCACAGTTGGATGCCTAGCCTGCCTGCCTTGACATAACCACCAGCAATCTTCTCGGCCTACCTTTTTCGACAAATCGTCATGCCATCCCCTATTGGAACCTACAATATATTGATAAAATAAATGATAGAAGCTTGCTTATTCATACTTGAATAAGGAAAGGAAAAACTCAATTCACATACCATACTCATGCTTACACGCTCATCGTCCATCAATTTTTTGTTGAAATTCCTTATACTATCAGTTTTAGGGTCATTTACCTGTCCAGAAATACCAGTCAGACTCGAATATACATAAAATTGGCACGATTTAAATTTTTGTTTACCAGTGGATCAGCAACTTTTCCATGCCAAAGGACATTGTCAATAACTATAATGCCTCCAACTCTCACCTGAAAGATGGGACAAATCAAAACTTCTCCGTACACAAAGCATAGAACTGTAATATCAGCATCTAATAGTACATCAAAGTCTGTGGGTTGCATGTATATACAGGCTAATTAGATATTGTATTACTAACCAGTTGTAGCAGCAATTCAAAATAATCTGAATACATTCTCTTCTCGGCATCTACAAAAGCAAAATCATAGCTACATAGAGGAGTAAACATGCGGTTAGAGTGATTTCATTTCATAGAAGACTGACAAATCATAATCGCATAAATATCCGAAGAAAATCTGTCTTAGCGTGTTGGGCTTGTGTGGATGGTTTTTTATTATTGGGTATACGTGTCTTTTGTTTTTCCCTTCTACTTTTCTTTTGTTTTTTTGGTTGGGTAGGGATGGAATGATAAAGCTATAAAAATTTAAAACTATTTTGCGCAATTGTGTCAAAGGTAATTGTAGAGTTATACTAGTGATAATAAGTCATATCTGCCAAACGAAAATCACAGATGATCCATTCAATAATGCATGATTGCAACTAATGTAGGTTTCTGGACAATCTAAGTTTAAGATTTAAACCAAGAAGAGGTCTTTCAATTATTTCGAAATAGATTAAGGTAATAGCTTCAAGCACTTCATGATTTAAAACATGAAAACATTGGCCGCAAGGATGTAGTGAATTAGAACATCAATAATGGCATTAGAAAATCATGCAAGAACGCAAAATACCTGCAACCTTCACCATTATGAATCATAGACTTCAGAGTATCAGCTGCAAGACCATGTTTCACATCTATCTGAAAAATTCATATCAGAACAAGAGAAAAATTACAAACATAAGAAAATTATTATAAAAATTCAAGATAAAATCACTATTTGGAAACAATTTACTGCAGTCATAGTTGAGTGAAACAACATGCAGAAAAGGAAATTTTGAACTACAATGGGAAGGAAAAATAAAAGAATTGACCACTTCCTGTAGAGCAGAAATTTTGCAAGTTCCTATAGTGTATAGTCATATGATTTTCTTATATTCTTCTTTCGAAGCTTTAGGAAGAATGTTTGATGGATTGCAACTACTAAGGCAAAAAAAGATGCTCAATTACATATGATCAAAATATTTTATAATTTAGAGTCATAGCCATATAGTTCAAGGCTCTCGGCTCTTTGGTAGCTCAATTAAGAAACTTCTCATATAGAGATGAAGAGTAGGACCGGTACTAGAGACATTTAGAGAACTTCTACCGATACCATACCTTATGTGAAACACCAGCAAGGTCATAATATCTCTTTGCAACCTCAAGTGATCTTGCATCTCTCTCACATGCAACCAGACGACCTCCTTTGGGTAGGACCAAAGCAATGGCCAATGAAGAGTATCCCTGCAAACAGTAAGAATAGTTCAGAGCAATGCACATAAATATTTTCTAATTGCACACACTAAGCACTTTCAAGAAAAGCAAACATTAGAATTAATTAACAGAAATAAGGTGAGACCATATAGTTGTGAATGTAGCACACAATCATACACAGGAGTGAGGAAAGGATCATAGCTGATTGACATATTCTTGCACAACAAGAATGAGGGAAGATGGTTCTCTTAGCATTCAAAAAAACACAAAAAAAGATACCAGGGAAGAATGCAAAAAAGGTGATCACATCTTGTTTAGCAGTGAACAATCAAAATCTTGGAAGCTACAATGCCCTAACATTAAATTATAACCAGAAATTTTAAGGTTTTAAATAATGCACAAACCCTTGATTTCTCATGCTAATTTGTTTTGAAATTGTTAAAGCCCCAACCCTCTATTTCAAACCATATTTGTGCATTATATCAGTCAATCCTAGGAATGCTACTAAAAATTGTGACTTTGTTATATTCCCAGACATATTTGGTCCTCTGCTACACATGGAACATTATCATACTTGGTTTTATCACAAAGTTTGCTGAATTTAGGTGCTAACAGAGAAAAGTCCAGTCAAAATACGCAAACAATCAACTCATAATAGAAAAGATGGGCAACCTAATAAATTTCCTTCATGGGCTCAATATTGAACAGTTGTTATACAAATAGAGGACAAAGCTACTATAGATGGGAAATGGTCTATCAACAAAAAAGAGACAATCAATCCCAGGTTACGTACAGTATAGACGCCAACTTCGATGCACCTCTCCGCACCTAGTATTTGAACAAGCATTGCAAGAAGTTGCGCTTGATCAGGCGATACCTACAGTCAAATCAGAACTTATCAACCTTAATGCTAACAATTATCAAATAAGTATGAGGATTCCAGGTATTACATAGAGTATAGAGTCGCAATAAAATTTAGCCAACCCTCCAACAAGAGAATCACAAATTCTCCTGTCATAGTCCAGTTTATTGGGAGGAAACCAAAACAGGATTAAAAAAAAAAATGGAAAACTGAATTGGAACAAAACCATGATGATTACCTGCATTTGACTACCTCGCATGGTAGCTGTCTCCTCTCTGAGCTCACGCAAAATCTGAAGTGCAACACAAAACTTTGTTAACCATTAACTATTTCGTTGAAATCTTATCTTCAACACGTGTCATTTTTCTATAATTTTCATAAATAATATGGTGTTAACCATTTCAATTTAAAAGATCAACAAGTTGCCTTCGACAGACTTGCATAATGCAAACCGAAATTTGTGTCATATTGGAAACACAAAAAAATCGATCGAAGATAAAATTGGATGTTAACCTGTGGCTCTCTAACATTAGCCAACATGTAATCATATAGCCGCGGGGTGACACTAATAACTTGCTTGCTGCCGTAATTTCCGTTGGCGGCAACGACCACCGGGTTCGCGTCTGCCACCGACTTCAAAGCCCAATTGCCGTAAGAAGCGGCGCCGCTGATGACAAAAGCACTCGCAGATTGGATGGTCGGAAGGAAACGGCCGGATGGTCGGAATGCCAGTAACGGCAACGGCAACGGCAACGGCTTAGCCCACCTGTGTACTGCACCCCAACTAGTAGACATGGTAAATGAAGCTCCTGCAAAAATTTTGAGGTTAAAAGTAACATTGCTGATACGAAATAGGGTTATCCAGTGACTAATTGTTTTTAAAAAGGTTTCTCATATTTTTATTTTTATTTTTTCTCATAGGACATGTTAAGTTTGGACAAAACTCTTGAATCTAACTTAACTCAGTGGCTCTTTTTAAGTTAAATACTCAAACGAATATTTGAATCGAGAACTGACGGGTCTCGGTTCTAGACCGAGAACCGAATCTCCCTAATTTTTTAAAGGGAAAATTACCTCAAAACCTGCCTACATTTTAAAAAATAGGGGATTAAGTTTTAATTTCAATAATCAGGTGGTAAATACTAATTTTTAAATTAATTAAAACAAAATAATTACACCTACCCCTCTGTCACACCTAACTCTCTCTCTCTCTCTTTCCCAAAAATTACAGCACTCTCTTACCTAGAAATAATGTGAATTAGTCATACATGTGATTCATCTCCCACTATCTCTCTCTCTTCCCCAAAAATTAGATCGGCACTCTTACTCAAGAAATAGATCGGTGATTTCTTCCCCACCCCACCCCACCCCACCCCACCCTCTAGATTCCGGCTACCTACCACTTCTTTCACAGGAGTTTCGCGAGACCAGTCGCCTACTGCATCGGCGATGACGCTCTCTCTCTTCCCCAAAAATTAGATCTGCTCTCTTACTCAAAAATCAGTGGGGAAACGTTTTCGCTACCCGTTAGTAAGACTAAGGTGGCCTCACCTTCGCCTAATTTGAGTAGTGTGAGGAAGGTCACACCGAAGAGGAGGATCAGTACTCTATGGAGAGGGAAGGGCGATGGACAAGGAGATCAAGTGGAGAATACTAAGCCAGTCGATCAGCATCGATGGCCAACGCGGAACCGGCTAGTGGTAGTGGTGATGAGAAAAGCAAGCTCACCCTCAGTTCTTAGTTTCTCTGTTGACGCTAGGGTGGGAAAGGTTGGAAAGAACCAGATTTTTTATGCACACTTGTTGAGGCTTCTGTATAATCGACATCTGTGCGGTACTCTTTTCTGTGAACGGATAAGAAGATTTAAGGTTGCTATTGTTACAAGGGAAAAATACCTTTCCTCATCTATGATCAGATCGCGATTTGACTATCGGGTAGTTCGTTGTGACCATTTGTGATCGTTTGTGACCATTTGTGACTGGTTAATTGTGACTCGTTGTGACCGATTGTGACTTGAAATTTTGGAAATTTTTTGAAAGTTGGGAATTGGTGGATGGGGTGGGTAAGTTGATCGGAGCATGCATTGGAGTGGTTATTGGAGCAGTTTGCCAGATGGATCGTGAATAGCCGTCGGAGAGAGCGTCGAGGTGATCGTCGGAATAGTCGCCGGAGAGATTGCCGAAAATGTCGCCGGAGCTGTCCCGAAGTAGATGGTCGCCTCCGATGAAGAGAATGGGTAGGGAAAGGATAGAGAGTATAGAGAAAGAGAATGATTTGGATTTAATAAATTAAGATAATTGTATTATATTTATAATTAAAAATATTTAATTAATTGATTTAACACCTGATTTTTGAAAAGATTTTTGAAATTTGTTATTTTTGAAATGTAATTTTTATATATATGATTTATGTATTGTTCCCTTTTTAATTTTTTTTATCTTAAATAAATCAAATTATTTTACTTTTTTAAAACAAATTTGCTAATGAATTAATTTAATCCAAACCCAAAATATAATTTTACAATTTCTAATTTTCAACCAAGGCCAACTTAATCAAATTGACCTCAATTTTACTCCAAATCTATTATTCTACCGTAGTGTTATTTCTATCGTTCTATTATTGTGAACTAGTCATCTTCCTTTCATGTGATTTTAACTGTCAAATTTAAGTACTCAAAAAAGAGATGTGCAAAAGATATCACTAGATTAGACTACGTTATTTTGTAAGAGTTAAGATTGAACACGTCATAATTGAATTAATATAGCGTTGTTGTAATATATAAAAAAATTAATTATTGTACAGAACTCAGATACCAAATAGAATGGAACCGAACCCCGAATGGTTTTATAATTAAATTTGGATCCGACAGTTCCATTTATTAAATATTCGAAAGTTCGGGACCGAATCGAATCATGCCCAACCTAGACACGTGATAATAAAAATGAAGTTATGAATTCACGATTTAAAAATGAAATTTAAGAAAAATTAAAATCAAACGGGGGGTTCACTTCTCTATTTGACTAGTAAGTTTGTTTTAGCCTTTTAGGCTTGGTTTGGTGCTATGTTCAAGAAAGAATCCGTTGAAGCCGTCCCGTCGTCTATCGTATTTGATAAACAAAAAATGCTTTATTGTTATGTTGGTATATATTGTTAAGGGATATATATCCCACATCGATAAATGATGTTGACACAGACCAATTAATAAAAATTTTGGGTTATTCCTCTTAATAAGGTTGATTTTTTAAGATAGAAACTCAAATCTTAACATGGTATCAGAGCACGTGGATTTCAAGATTGGTCTGATCAAATGAACCACCATCTTGTAGGGGCGTGTTAAAGAATATATATCTCATATCGATAAATGATTTTGACACAGACCAATTAATAAAGATCTTGGGTTACTGCTCTTAATAAGGTTGACATTTTAAGATGAAAGCCCAAATCTTAACATATATTACTAAAATTGATATATTGTAATTATTAATAATGTAATAATATTAAATTCCTTTTTTAATAGATTTTTTTATAACTTATTTTTTTTCAAACTCATTTTCAATCTTACTTTCTTCCAAGTACCCATAATTTTTTCCTAATTTTTAACCACAAATCCTCAAAAAATCACTTTTAAAAAAAATTATTTTCGAAAAATTCAAATTGGCCCTAAATATTTTTTCAAGACAAAATATCAAGAGTCTGTTTGAGCTTCATTCATGTCAAGGTTGGAATGGTAGTGGTCCTCCAAGTTTTGTCTCAGCCTAATGTCATCCCTACAAAGAAACGTGAAAGTAACGTCTTTCATACAAGTTAAATCATAAATATATTGATTAAATCTCAACACAACCTAAAATTGGAACCTTGTCTTAAAATTAACATTACAATTATATGAATATTGGTCTTGGTTCAAGTTTAAAGCAATAATTATAGTACAAAGTTCAATCGTAACAAATGTAGCACAGTAAAGTTTGACTTTGACAATTAAAGCCTGTTTGGTACAACTTCTCATTTTCTACAATAAATCAATTTTCATTTTCAACCACACATTCTTCAATAAAATAATATTTTCCATCACATCAATACTTTTTTTTCTTTTTCAACCACACATTTCCCATCATATCACTATTCAAAAATCAATTCTTCCCCCAAAAATCCCTACCAAACACACTCTAAATGCTAGAATAGTGATTGATGGAAAAATGTGTAGTTGAAAAGTAATGAGANAGGGTCTGTTTGGTACAGATTCTCATTTTCTATAGTAAATCAATTCTCATTTTCAACTACACATTCTTCAATAAAATAATATTTTCCATCACATCAATACTTTTTTTTTTCTTTTTCAACCACACATTTCCTATCATATCACTATTCAAAAATCAATTCTTCCCCCAAAAATCTCTACCAAACACACTTTTAATATATGTAAACGGAACAGAACAGAACAAATCGATCTGATTTAAAATAGTCTTTAATTATGAAATTTCCAACCGTCCATCAACATGAATCATGAAGGTTGAATATAAAGCAAGATTTTGGCTGTGGAAATTCTTCTTGTTTAATTATTAGTTGATATTTGTCTTTTTTTTTGGCACTTTAGCCGTTGACATCCAACCAACATGCCAATAAAAACGATTAAATAAAAATCAATAAACAATTAAAACATATAACTCATTATTTTGCTCATATTTTGTTGTGAGCAATATTAATATAAGGATAATTTCTGATTCTCACATTAATCATTATAGGGGAATTATTTTGAAAACTACGCTAGGAATCGTACCTTGTTTTGTTTTTTGACCCAAATTATGTTGAAAGCCTCTTTTATATGTGTTAGGATTAATAAAATTAACTTTTCAAAAACAGATTATAAGCACCAATTATGCTTATATGTATTTAAAAGTTATTTGTAAATAAATTTAACTTTAATTTTTGCCACTTAAACTATGGTTGTCATTTAAAAGTCTCAAACTCATATACATAGTGGCCTTTTCGTTGTTTCTGAGAACCTCAGGTCAAAAGTATTCCATTCCTACCTCATCTTCACAGTTCACACCCACTCCCTTTCCATCACGGCGGAGATCCCAAAATGTGCCCGACAAAATGCCGCCATCACCACCACCGTGACACCACCGCCACCGTAGAAGACTGGAGAGAAGAAGCGATCAATGGTGGTTCTCTAAAACATGTAGACCTTCGCACAGGTTCCAACGGCTGGGCATCTCCACCAGGCGAAGTATTTTCCCTTCGTGGTCCTAAATACTTCTCAAAGAAAACCAAAACACCAGCCGGAGATTGCCTGCTGAATCCTGCCGGAGTCGACTGGCTCCGATCCAATTGTAAGCTTGATCATGTACTGGCCAGGCCCGATAATCGTATTATGGCCGCTTTGAGAAATACCAAATGCCCTGAAAGTTCCTCGAAGATTTTTGTTATTGCGATAAATCTTCAAGTCCCTGGCCGGGACCATTACAGCGCGGTGTTTTACTTTTCAAGCAAAATTGACGAACCCATTCACTCTAATTCACTATTGTATCAATTCATTCATGGGTCGGATGCTTTTCGCAACAGTCGGTTCAAGATCGTGAACAAAATTGTCATGGGACCATGGATCGTGAAAACTGCAGTTGGAAATTACTCTGCGTGCCTATTAGGTAAAGCCCTGAATTGTTATTACCATAAAGGGCCTAATTATCTTGAAATAGATGTTGATATTGGTAGCTCAGCAATCGCCACCGCGATTTTGCGCCTGGCTTTGGGTTACGTTAAGGCGGTGACAATCGACATGGGTTTCTTGGTGGAGGCGCAGTCGGAGGAAGAATTGCCAGAGAAATTGTTTGGGGCTGTCAGAATTTGTCAAATGGATATGAATTCTGCAACATTTGTTGATAACTCCACACCGTCAAGGAAAGTTTTGCCCTGTGAAAACGAAAACGAAGATGAAGATGAATAGTGGGTTTATTTTAAGATTAATTTTTTAATCGCAATGAAAAAATTGGTGGCAATGTGGAATTTTTTTTTTAATTAATTTGGTAAAATTTCTGTTTTAATGTGCAGATTATCAAGTAAAATGTAGGTAGTATTATCATGTTTAAGATGTAGGTAGTGTAGTTGTCGTCCAACAAAATCTTGAAAATGGACCAAGTTGATTCCCAACTTTTGATTAAAATCGCACAATTAGTCTTTCACGATTCAACCGTCCAATTCTCTACTCAGGTGGCTCTCACTTTGTTTCTCAATGAAACTCGTATTGAAAACTCAAAGTTTTGAACATTGATACGTACCGTTTTAATAGACGAACAACTCAGCTCTTGAAGCTTAATATAGCTCTAGAGGTGAGGAATCGACATCAAAGTGTCAAACCTCTAGAGGTGAGGAATCGACATCAAAGTGTCAAACCTGCTCGTTGATGTGAGCTCATACGAAAAATCAACATGTTATTGTTAAAATAACTTTTATTCATTGGTACTTCCGCTCTGTACTATCGAATCACTAAGGTCGATTTTCATCCTTCCTTGATGGGTGAATCTTTGCACTCAAAGTTCAATCTTCATTCTACCCAAAGGAACTTTTGCACACCTCAAACAATGGGATACACCCCTCACGCCAACCCCTCCTTTTTTCTCCCTTTTTTATTGGCTTGGCAATGATCTGTCTTTTGTTTGCATCTTGTTGTATGTTTGTGAGTTTCGATTGGCTAAAAGGGATTGATCGATTGATATTTGAGTTGGTAGGGACAAGTATGGATGTGTATAATAATGTAATATTGGCCTCAGCCTTCTCAATTTATGGACCCAAAGGCTAGTCATGCTGCAACCCTGCTAATGGTACGAAATTGTACTTTAGTTTCATCTGTATTATGGCCTAACATCTCTGTTTGGGAGCGTTATGGACGACGGTGTGACTGTGCTAGGCCCAATCTTGTTTAAGTTTATAGTTACTTATAAATCGATCTAATTCCCACATTTTTTAAGATACACGACTTTTACTAGGATCGTTAAATAGGACAAACCACTCAATTGATCCTCTCATAGATGAACTGAGTGCTCGAGGTGAGTGTGAGCATGAGCCAACTTGTACAAGTTGGCCCCCAAACCAAGCGAGGTAGTTGAGCGAGAGCTAATCGGCTTGTGCTTGAGCAAGCTCGATATATCAACTTGCAAGCCGACGAGACTATGTGATTTGTTTTCTTACAAATTCACATTTTTATTATACATCGATGATTGTAACATTTATTTTTTAAAGAAAATATCGAGTCGCATGCCAACTCGTCTTGCCCCCATCATGAGACAAGTTGAGCTTAAGTATTTTTAAACGAGCCAGCTCATACTCGGTTTGCCTTTTGGGACACACTGATTACCAAGGAATTATAAATTTTGGCATAAATCAAGTTATTTTATAGGTTAATTACCCTGGAAGTCATTGAACTTTTACCCTAGTTGCAATCGAGTAACTGGATTTTCATTTGGAGCAATCAAAGTCACTAAATTATAATTTAATCAGGTCACTCCGTGTGAATACCATTAACTTGTCCACCAAAATTTCCTGACATGTCTGTTAAAATTAACGAAATTCTAACGCGTCCATCCAAGTCATCAAATTAATAACATTGGAGGTTAGTGATATACCATTCCAATTACAATTAGGTCACTGAACTCTTCTAAATTTATTGAAGCAATGTTTTAAAAAGTGTAAAACGTGACTAAATGCAGAGGTTGAATTTCAAACTTTACGAGTTTAAGTGAGCTTAGTCTATGCTAAGGTGTAAAAAACTTTTTCTTATTTTTAATATTATTTTAAACTTTTTTAATAATTAAAATAATACATATCAAAAATCTAAATTATAAAATACTAAATTTGTTTAATAAGTCCTACCATCAATCAATTATATAATTTTCAAGTTTTTGAAATGCAAAAATTAAAATATTTTTCATAATTTCAATTTTCAACTACACAAATCCTACCTAATAGATTTATAGAATTCCATACATGCTTTTACAGCTTGCAACAAAATAACAAGTTTTAAGATCATAATAACATAATGTAGATAGCAGTATAGCTTAAATCTTATTTAACTATTTATATAAACTCACTTTTAACTTTTGTACAGATAAAGTCAAATTAAAAGTTTTTTTTAAAAAATAAAAACAAAATAATAAGGTAAAGTCAAATAAAAGACTTAAAAAAATGAAAAAAAAAATTAATAAAGAGTGCCTAGGGAAGATGAAAGAGAGGAATGAAAAAATTTAGCTATTTAGAAATTGGAAAAAAAGGGTGCCTAGACACGAAGCGAGGCATTTTCCCCAAATTTCGAGTCTAGACGCTGCTTAGATGAGTTTTTTAGAACACCACATTGAAGCAATCAAGACATAAAGCACGCATTCCCACGCCTTGAACAACTAGGGTACAAATTCTTCAACCTATATTTGGTCTCCAATTTTTTAAAACTCATTTTCAATTACACATTCTCCCATAAAATAATTTTACACGTAAATCGAAACTTTTCATTCTTTTTTAATCACATATTCTCCAAAAATCACTATTTAAAAATACATTTTCTTCCCAAAATGGAGTTCAAGCAAGGGCTAAATCTATCCATATAAAAAACTCCAATAGTTAAAAATAATGAATTTCAAAATTCAAAATAATGACTTTTCAAAGTCAAACATTAGTAAAATAACTCCATTTGAAACCACAAAAAGGCAATAAAAAAAAAATGCATCGAACTAATATCACAAGAAAATCAAACATAGATTCCTAACTAAAATATAAATTGAGCTAAATAAGGAAAAATCAACCTAGTTTCAGTACTATATAAAAAAGGCAGTTTTGGGGATATCCATTTTATACACATCTTATATATATCCATTTTCATATCTTTTTTTTCTCAGTTTGTTATAAAAACGACGTGTTGGAGTTTGTATAATTTGATATGTCTTTCTATTTTGAATAATTTGATTTTATATTGAAAATTGGTTCCAGACATCTTAATTGTTAGCACTGTTTTTTTTTTAAAAAGGCTCTGCGCAGCACGGAGACACGACGGGTACCGTGTCCGGGTATTCTCGTAGCACAAAGACACCGTGTCCGCGTAGCGCATACTTTTTTTTTATATAGTGCTGACAATTAAGATCAATCTTTGAGACTTTCTATTTCAAACCATTGATCACTCAGGTCTCTAGAGTTGCTTCTTATAGCCACGAAATATAGTTCAGCTATTGACATGTGGTCTTTTGGTTGCATATTTGCTGAACTTTTGAATGGGAAATCAATCTTACCTGGAAAAAATTATGTTAAGACCCTACTGTATATATTTAATTTTTATTTTCTGATAAGTCAAATAGCTGCAATATAAGAGTCTTTAGATGAATCCATAACAGCTGTCACATGCTAATGTGATTGTTGGTATGAGTGGATGTGGGTGTGTGGTATAGCATTTATTTCGTGAACTGTTACTGTAAGATAGCTTTTTTGTGACTTCTTTTTAAGAAGAAGCATTTTGAATGTAGTATAGAGGTAAATCCATGTCTTTAATCAGTTTTAAAGTTGTGTAATTGTCGGATTAAACGCATAATTATTTTCGGCAATTTGTTGTATTTTCTTCTAGCCAGGACCCTAGTTTTGGCAGGATCTTTGTTGAATCACCTGATCGCAATTGGATGCTAATTGATTCAGAAGACGTATGGTCATGTTTGTTTAGCCTTACTTTCGTTTCTTTCTTTCTGACCCTTTGTGCACGTGTGTGCGCGCCTTTCTTCATTTTGTGGCCTTCATATATTCATTCATTTCCTTCATGTAGGCATTTGATTCTCTTTTTACATCTTTCGACATGCATGACATGAATGATGGATTGTAATGCGATGTGATCCAAAAATACTAGATAAAGCTACGACAATGGAGGATTGTGACAAGGTAACCTTTTAGATCCTTTTGATGGAAATTTGATGAAATTAACTGATAGTGATGGTGCACTTTTTAGTGAACTATTGATAGAAATGATGGTTTGCACAATCCAATGTATAATTAAGGGTGAAAATGTTAAAAATAAAAATGTAGGGACTTTTTTTTTGCAATAATAGTGAAAGGTATGGACATTATGTGCTAATTACCATTTTAATAATTTATTTGAGACTCATTTGCACTTTTTAGAAAAATTGAGACTGTGGTTACAATTAGTTTTTTCATTTTGCTTTATTTAAAGTGAAGGGTATTCGTCATTTCACAATTTTTAATTGAGAAAATAGATGAAAATGACTTTTGCGCAATGAAAGGTGAAAATAATGGTGAAAATGCCAAAAAATGAAAAGTCACCTGCAAAAGGTATTATTGTCACTAATGTGGGGATGTTATGTGCTAATTACCAATTTTTAAACTATCAAGAGTTAATTTTATAAAAATAATATTATTTATCATTACGATAATAAAATATCAATGGTGTGACAGTTTATGTGAAATATGAAATTGAAATTTCAATTTTTTTAGAGAGGGAGGAGGAGAGAGAAAGCGAGAGAGAAATGTAAGGAATAATGGGTTGTCACATTACCGATGTTCAATTATTATGATGATAAATAACATTATTCTTTTATAAATGTTCATTGAAATTTGTTCAAAATTTTAAGTCAATAATTCAAGTATTTTTTTTTTTACTCATTTACTCACTAAAGTTAATTAACTATATTATTGGTCATAGTTTAATGACTCGTTTGCATCTAGGTGAAAGTTCAGTGACCTCTAATGTAATTAGCCCGTTATTTTACCACATTCATTTCGCTTGACATGAAAAATTACAATGGTGGTCTTTTTCCGATGGTAGTTACTCATTTTGTCAAAAATTATAATATGTTGTTGTCCTTTTTTTTTTTTTTTTACACACATTCTCTCGCTTCACCTTCACCTTCACCTTCACCTTCACCTCCACCTCACACCCCACCTTTCTTCCATTTGCATTTATTTGGTATCTCTCGAATAGCTACTTTTGAGCACATTTCAAGGAGCTCACGAGGTCTCGAATAAGGAGCAGGAAGCGTTATTATTTTTTAAGTAAAGTTTGACTTCTTAATACAAAAGAAAGATTTTTAACAAAAAAACACTTTATATAAGTTTATCTTCGCTTTAACTAGGAACAAGAAAAAAAAAATCTCATACTGTTGAAAACTTTGAAAAACAATTAATCTTTAAAACGGCAAACAATAAATTAAATGGTTTAGAGTTATCACTAAAAAAAAAGGATGAACCGCATCCTTGGCGGCCCCCACCTGCCCTGCCCTGGACCTTGGTGAAAGAGGTAAATCGCAGGTTATGCCTCCAAGGGTACAGGGTGAAAGACTGCTTGTACACTTGCACTTACCCAATGATCAAATCCATATTTCAGGATTCGAACTCTTGACGCGGCAGCCTCAAACAAAGTTGAAATTTTTTCACCTTCCCCTTTTACTATTTAAAAATGTGCCCTGAGGGCGGTTTAGAGTTGTCACTAAATAGGGCGTTATCTGGATAAAGTGTCTTATTCCTTCGATTTCTTAATTATTAGACCATCCAATTATGTGATTCTATTTCTATGCAGGCATCTCTTTGCTGTTAATTCCTCAGTGTTTCAAAACAAATATTATTTTGCAGCATAATATTTAGTTTATTTAAATTATTTATTTGACCATACCTAAAAATAATAAATTATCAAGTATTTTAAGTTATAAAATATAATATATTTTTGTTTAGAGAACAACATAATAAATTAATGAAGTATTTAATGTATTAAAATGTTGCATTTGTCTTGTATTACTCATAGAACATAGACCACGAGAAGCAACAAAAGAAGACGTGCGATCCTCATAAAATCGACAAAATTTTAAAAAATGTAAGCTTTTAAATAAGAAGATTCAACATAGCCAGTAGTTGAACTCAAATATCATTGTCACTCATTTATAAAAATTGTGCATGTGTCACACCTTTAATGACAAATATTCGCTCATGAAGGTACGGGTTGCAATTCTGTTAACAATCATACTTCTATTATATTTGAGGATACGTGACCATATATTCCATTAAGTGAATTGAAAAATAAAAGATAAAAAGGAGAAGAGCTAGTAAAGGCTATAATTNCCCCCCCCCCCCCCCCCTAAATCCGTCCCTGAAAATAATGATATTTACACAAAATAGTTCCTCTCTCTAACTTAAATAGAAAACGTCCTAAAACTGCGTATGTTGAGCACTCCAATGGTTGTTCTCTCACACCAAATGGCCTCAAGAGGATGACAGAATACTTCTTGGTTGGTTGGTCAGTGACTCATCTTAATGCAGTAGTTGCATTATTGTATCTTGCTAACATAACATTCTCAATTTTACGGTCGAAAATGACTGTTTTTTTCTTCTCAAGGTATGAACACCTTATAAGTTTTAAGCCTTCACAGATTTCAGTAAATGATGATCATCTGGAATCCAATTATCATCCACAAGATCAAGATCAAGATCATAAAAAGATATGACTGAGTTATTGCCAGTTTCAGAAATTTTTATTTGATCCACTAATTCTCTCAATATCTGGTATACTTCTTGGCAACAAGGGTGTGAATGATCCTCTGCATTAAAAGCATGCACCTCATTTTGAACTTCTATCCAACTCCAACCAGGTACTTTCTTGACTCCCCTCTCCTTCATCAGCCTCTTTACGTTAGCCTTCTCGTCCCACCTCTTAAGTTGTCCATACATGTCCGAGAGAAGAACATAAGTACAGTGTTCTCCGGGTTCAAGTTCTAGCAAATGACAGGCTACCTGAGTTGCCAATTCTATATCACCACAAGACCTACAGGCACCTAGTAGAGTTTTCCATACCATTGCATCGGGTTCAAATGGCATTTCTTTGATCAGCTCTTTTGCTTCTAGAAGACGTCCTGCTCGACCAAGTAAGTCAATAGCACAGGCGTAATTTTCCATTTGTGGGCGAACTCCATATTCACTTTCCATGGATTTTAGGAATGAATGTCCTTCCTCTACCAGACCAATGTGACTGCACGCAGTTAGAACAGCAACAAAAGTGATATGATCCAGCTGCACGTCTCTCTCTGTCATTAAGGAGAAGAGGTCGAGAGCAACTTTACCTTGCCCGTGTTGCGCATATGCAAAAATTATTGAGTTCCAAGTTATTGAACTGTCTTTGTATGATGCATCAAAGGATTTCCAGGCATCTCCAATTATCCCACACTTCGAATACATGAAGATCAAAGCACTCACCACATATTCATTCACCTCAAATCCAGATTTTACAACCAAGGCGTGAATTTGTTGACCCAATTGGAGTGTGGCCAAATCAGAGCAAGATCTAAGGACAGCTGAGAAGGCATAATGATCAACTTTTAGGTACTCAAGATGCATCTGTCCAAAGAGCTTCAAGGCATTTTCACTCAAACCATTTTGCGACAAGCCTGTCAAAACTGTATTCCAAGAAACAAGGTCCTTGACATGCATGAACTCAAAGATTTTCAATGCATTATTTACGCTGCTGTTAATGGATTTCAGATACATCGAAATCAAGGCATTAGCAATTGGTGTTAACTGTTCAAATCCCCTCTTTAGAACCAAAGCATGTAAAGATCTCCCTTGACTCTGTTGAGAATCCACAAAACAAGCACTTATTATCGTAGTATATGTATAAATATCTGGTTCTAAACCAAGCTTTTCCATCTCCAAGAAGAGCTTAAATCCACATTTTTCTTGATCATGCTCCATATAAGCTGCTAGCATTGAATTCCATGTAACCAGATCTCGGTATCCCCCAGTAATATCAAAAATTCTTTTCGCATCATCAATGCACCCACATTTTGAATATGCGGTGATCAAAGCATTACAGACAGTGTTATCAAACTCTAACCCAATTTTCATAATCTTCCCATGAATCTGCTTCATGAACATGCAAAACTCAACCCCATCTAGCATCGCCAAAAGTGGTGCAAAGGTGGCATCATCAACCCGCAAACCTTCCCTTTCCATAGACATCATCAATTGAAAACAATGCTTGTGATCGCCCAATTCTGCATATCCCGCAATCAAAGCATTCCACGACACAGAATTCCTCTCCGGCATGTCATTAAACACCACACTTCCATCCCCAACTCTATCACACTTCACGTACATATCCAAAAGCGCACTGGCAGCATAAACATTTCCCTTATACCCCATCTTAATCACATCAGCATGCACCTGTTGCCCACACTCAAGATGATTACTCGAAGCGATGCTCTTGAAAATGCTCCCAAAAGTATAGCCATCGAACACAAACCCAATATTCTTCATGGATTTCAAGACGCCCCATGCCATGTCAAAGCATCCAGAATTTACATACCCTGCGATCAGGGTGTTCCAAGAGACGGTATCTGGATAAGGCATTTCGTCGAACAGTTTGAGAGCATTGATCAATTCTTTGCATTTTATATAGCTGTTTATAATGTTGTTGGCAGTGTAAGTATCTGTAATCAGTGACACCTTGATAGCTTGGCAATGGCTTGCTAAAACTTTTGATAAATTGGCAAGTGTGGTTTGCAGTGGCCTCATTCAAGAGACAACAGTGCATGTTTAAGCTTGAAAAACTCAATTATAAGTTTACTATTAAAGGCAGCTTTTTCCACTTATAGGCAACAAAACGTAATTTCCATAATTATCCTTCTGAGAAAATAGAGGTAAAATCGTTCTCTCAAGTATCCGCAATGCGACTTTATCTCGTTTCATTGTTGGTAAAGCTTGCGACTTTCACCTAAAGTTGCACGACTTTACTTCAAAAAGAAAAATTACTGAAGGGATATGCATAAAAACAAAAATAAAGAAATTGTAGAATTGTTCCTTCAATTTTTTGTTCTTTTCACATTTTCTGTCAAACTAGTGGCGCACGTGCGATGCACGTGTTAAAGTTTAGTTGGCTACCTAATAGCGTGCAGTGATTTCTAGTTATTTTACACAAACTTGGGACCAGATCTTCGTTTCAAGATTGCACTATAAGTAATGCAATGTTTGTAAGGGAATAAGAAGTTGTCTTCTCTTTTTAATTACAGTTAATGAAAAAGGAAAGAGTTCAAATTGTCCTTTTACATGCTTATATTGATGTTGAATTTGGAAGAACTTGCAGTCAGCAAATGAAGTCCACAAATAGCGTTTGGATGTGGTGAGATATATTGTTCACAGTGAAATTTGACTTGTATTGTTCCCTTGAGGAATATATGACTCATTCCTTTATAAAATTCTTACTGAGATACGTACATCAATGAAGCATGTCCCGTCTCAGACAAATGCAAATGATGCTAAGCCGGTGGGCAGACAGGCGCATGGCAACTGTACTGGTCGAAGCCACATGATAAGACCTTCTCCAAGTTTGGAGCACTTAGCTTCACAGTCTAATGTGCCCCAAATGCTGCAGCCAACAAACAGGTTTTCATGGCTGTCATTCAGTCTCATGCCAAGTACGAACAGGTTCTTAGTAAGATATCAATTAATAATAATCAATCAAAACTAAATTTCCAAGATTCAAGGCTTTTTCTACTATGAGCCAGTAAATGTTCTAAGTTTAATTATACACAAGTTCAAACAAAGGATTTTAATTTTTCAAAAGGAACATGAAACTCGAAAACTTTGATCTACAGGTTACAACTAAGTTCCTTTATACATGAAAATGAAAAGAATAATTGATTTTTTTCTTCTTTTTGCACAGAATATAATTAAAAGCACTCGTAGATCCAAATTTCGCAAAGGAGAACCCAAACTTTTGTAGTTAGACCCTTTTGCCTTGAAGAAGTACGATGACAATTGAAAAAAATTCAACTGAAAGCAGAAAACGCATTGCAATCGCATTCAGACAATATATTACAGCAACTGTAGTAGCATAATAAAATTCCCAAGATTTGAAGTATATAATCATTAATAATCAATCAAAACTAAACTTCCTAGAAAACGAAAAATGGGACCTTGGATTCCTCCTTAACTGGTGCAGCATAGCAGGAGCAGTTTGGCCTCCACTTCTGACTTCAACAGCCTTCCCAGGAAAGCTATAACATTATGCATAAAAGCATCAAATAAGCAAAACAAATATCAGTACAAACTAAAAGTTAGATGCACTCAAACATAAATAAGTACAGACAGCAAAAAATGGCTTCTTTTCGGGCTTTTATCAGAAAAGTAATGAAAATAATATTAGGGGAAGATTTATTTGTTTTTTTTAAATGCTGGAGAAACATGCTAATAGTGAATTAAACTCGTAAGCTTTTTCAATAGGCACACAGTGATGATTTATGACTTAAGTTCCTAAATGTAATCAACTCTCAAACTACCCAATTGTAAAATGGACCTAGAGCAATACTTGCTTCGCTCGAGAGGTCCAATTATCAGTTCACAACTTTCTCCTAATAAGCTAGCCCTACATCCTAAAATAATTAATAAATAACAACAAAAAGTCAAAATTACAATGGATTAAATTACATGGCTGCGAGCTTCGAGGAAACACTTTCTTACTGAATTAATGACAAAAAACTTCAAGCAACCTAAGTTTAGCATTTGGATGTGACGATTCTACCTGCAAGAAGACATAAAAATAATGTTAGTCTTACCATATTTTATTTTCTTCTAAAAAATCTAATGTAGGAGCTAAATTGGAATTAAGAAAATCAATTATTATAGGTGAACTTAATTTTTCATTATACATCTTTTTTGTTAGAGAACAAAAGCTGAAGAGCAAAATTTATTCCAACAGGTCGAGAAATTTAAAAGGAATGATGAACAAAATGGAAAGCAAATCTTGAAAATGGGCATGCTTAAAATTCAATAAAAAACCCGTACACTTCACAAGACGAAGCCGGGAAAAAATCAACAAAAATCGACCGGAGACAGGGTGAGCAACAAAAAACACAAATTACGAAGAGCAAAATTTATTCCAACAGGTCAGAGAAATTTAAAAGGAATGATGAACAAAATGGAAATCAAATCTTGAAAATGGGCATGCTTAAAATTCAGCAAACACCCGTACACTTCACAACACGAAGCCAGAAAGAAATCAACAAAAATCGACCAGAGACAGGGTGAGGAACAAAAAACACAAATTACGAACAATATGTTGCATAAACAACTAAAACGAAAAAAAATAGAATTAAATAGAGAAATCAAATGAAAAACACGAACAAATTTACCTTGAATGAACATAATTGCAAGGACAAAAGCAAACCAATCAAACTCCTGTCTTTTGGATATTAGTGTGATTTATTTTAAGTGAAGGAAAAAAATCTCAAAAAATAATAGCAACAGCGAATGGGGGATTCATCTGGGATTAAACTCAACCAAAAATACAATAGTTTTACCTCGATAGGGATGTAAGTTGGACGCTTAGGCTTCCTGACATTGATACAAGGAAGATCGGCAGAATAGGGCAAATCAATGTTACGACTATTAATGAAGTAATCATAGACAGTTACTTCAGTGGTTTGAAATTCACCAGCATCATCCTTGTTTTTCTGCTTCAATGAGAACCTGAAACAATTAATTTCAAAGATGAAATCTTATACTTTATTTCATTGTATGCTAGAACATATGAGTAGAAGGCTATTGCAACCAATCAACCTCAACATCCCATGATTCCCATCTTAGCTACCAAATTAACACCAAATAAAATATACAAAAGTGATATTTAACTTAATTGCAAGTCCCCAGAGTTTTGTTTTAAAAGCTAATGTACAATGATATTTACATTTTAATGGTAGCATTTGCAACTATCATGTTTTATTACAGCACCTGTAGAAGCAGTTGTGCTATCAAAGTTCAGCGTTGTCTTCTTAAGAAATTGGGAACAGAACCTAACCTATAAGCCTTTGTTAACTTCAAATGGGGCACGACATTGCTTCAACTTCCTAAGATGTATGTAGACAGAAAGAAAAATGCTCAGGCAAAATACAACATAAATCTTTGTCATTAGAAATACAGTCAGTCCACACCTAGATTAAAAGACTTCCTCAGCCCCCATGAAACATAAAATTATCGATTAAGAAACATTTTTAAAACATATAAGCAGGTTAGTCACATCCTAAAACTGCTAATGTGGTCACCATTCAAACAAGAAGAGATTGGACATGTTATTGGCTACTGATTATGATGCAGAAACTTCAGAATTTGAAAATTTTAAAAACATATAAGCAGGTTAGTCACATCCTAAAACTGCTAATGTGGTCACCATTCAAACAAGAAGAGATTGGACATGTTATTGGCTACTGATTATGGTGCAGAAACTTCAGAATTTGAATCTGAGTGACCTGATTGATCCACATTTGCACCATTTGTTATATGCCCTTTGCTATACTCCAGATTATTACCCTGTATGACACTGCTTCCTGCGTTGATCAGCATTTTTCATTAAGAAAATTATCGACAAACATAATTTTGTCACCATGGATCAAGAAGAAAAGGATATGCTATCAAGCCATTTTCGAAGTTTCCATGCATCTTAGATATTAAAATAAATGAAAATTGAAATATTTAGGGAGACAAAATGATCATACTCATAAGAGCTCCAATACATTTATCTGCTGGACATGACCAAAATTGCTGGAAATTGTCGATTCACTGCCTTCATTATTTTGGACCTGTGAAAAAAAGGGTTTTTTTCTTCTGTAACAATGGTTTTGTTCTCTGTGTTTTCTTGCCATAATCACATGCCAATGGTTTTTCACTGCATTGTCAGTTCTGCCTGGGAATAATTTGGCTATCATAGCCCATTTGTTGCCATACATTTTGTGCGCAGACAAAAGGGTTTCCTCTTCCTCTTCTGTGAATGATATTTTGTTAATCCTTGGATCCAACTGGTTAAACCATCTTAATCTGCAACTTTTTCCTGCAATTATGAATGAAGATAGCCACAAATTATGTAATAAATTTGACACATGCTATATGAATCTTTTTCCAGTTCATTATTAGATGAGATCTAGAAGAATCTACCTTCTTCTTTTTTTGTTTTTCCCCAAATTAGCTAGTGATCAATGAATGAATAGATGGACTATATATTAGGAAAACAATAACCATATTAATGTAAATCCCATTTTTCCATTTTTAACAGTTAAGGATTCATATGACAATTAAAACCTTATATTTTTTACCTCCTTAAGATAGCCAACACAAAGATTAATCTTGATTGGTTTTCCCCAAAAAAAATCTATATCCTAAGATTCCTAACAATAAAAAAGTCGGAACTTCTGTCTAAATAATGCAAACAGCCAAATGCCCAGAGCCCTTCAGTAAATATCAGCAAGTGTCATCAGCCAGTGCAACGCAAATAGTGTCCTTTCTTTTCTTACCCTACACACAAAAATCAAAATTAAATTAACAAACATATAACTATGGAAAATCGTATTAAACATAAGTCTCAAGACATTAGCATTGAAGTCCCTAAATCAACCCAAGGTCTACAAGCACTAAAATATCCGCTCTAGTACAGAGACATTCTGAAGTATTCAAATTATTTTACATAATTCTAAACCTCCAAGAAATCGATACTTTGTTTTGGCAAATATAACCTGTTTGCTGAAAGA